TATTTGTCGGGATTTATATTTGACGAACATTTTGTGTATTTTCCTTTACATTGCTCCAATTCCATTCAGCTTCCTCATCAAATTGTACATCCCGACTCACTATAATTTTCTCATTTGTTGGATCAAGCAGCTTGTAGCCTTTTGTTTCCTCATCATAACCAATGAAAACGTATTTCTTGCTCTTATCTTTCAGCTTTGTTCTCTGCTGATCCAGAATATGTGCATAAGCAATACAACCAAACACTTTGAAGTGTGACTTTGTCGGCTTTTTACCACTCCATGCCTCTTGCGGTGTTGAATTTTCTAGCTTTGAGTGAGGACAATGGTTCTGCAAGTACACCGCTCACCGCATAGCCTCTGCCCAGAGTTTTTTCGCCAAATTCTTGCTTTTCAACATTGATCAAACCATGTTGAGTATTGTCCAGTTCTTCTTTTCCGCGATGCCATTTTCTTTTAGGAGAGTAGAGTGTGGTTAGGAATCCTCTTATCCCATGTTCATCACAGTAGTTTCTAAACTCCCTGGAATTGTACTCGGCTCCTCTATCGGACGTTACTGACTTGATAACTTTTCCGGTTGATTTTTCCACCAAAGCTTTCAACTTCGCCAACACTCCAAAAGTTTCAGCCTTATCCTTCAGAAAGTAAACCCAAGTTTTTCGTGAGAAATCATCGATGAATGAGATAAAATACCTTTTACCACTGCATGAATTTGGAGTAATTGGCCCACAAATGTCGGTGTGAATTAGTTCAAGAATTTGCTTAGCTAGGTATGCGTGTTAAAATCTGGTTTTTTTTCACAAGACACAAAAATGCACTGGATCGAAGAAATATTTATAGTTTATGTTCTTTTTTTTTTTTTTTTTTTCAAACTCTATTTTTTTTTCATTACATTATCAAGGCATCCTAATAATAGGAAATTAAAAACAAAAAGTTACAAAATATAATTACAACTTAATTGCTAGTCAATAGGAATTTCAAACAACTCGTAACCACCACACTACTAACCCCACAACCATTAATTAAATTTATTCTCAACACGTTCATCCAATTCTCCAGGTAGATGTCCCGAGAGTGGGCTCCCATTGTGCACAAGGATATGCTAATGTTGTCTCCAAACCTTAAGGTGTTCTTCGTTTGATTGTACCTCATGTTAAGTAGTACAAAATCAGGTATCAACATATTTTAATTTTAGTCACAGAAATAGTTGGATCTAAAGCTAAATTTTCCAATGCTACCTTGTTCCGTTGTGTCCAAATATAATAAAGAGTCACGGAAACACTACCAAAAAAATGGTCTTTCACCACGGCTCGACGGTTCGTTACAATAACATCGTAACAAATAATGGTTATTGTTACGACAAGTTCTGTGACCAAAAAATATTTTTTTGGTCAACGTTTCAGGTTATTTAATTACACAAAATAAGCCGTAACGAAAACGAAGTTGGTATAATTTGTTCAAAATAACATTAGTTATGATTGTGCTTCGTAACAAATGGCGTTTAAATTTATTTTTAAAATTTAAAAGATATTTTGGATTTTAAAAAGGTTAAAAATGCTATAGCGCTTTTGGAAAATTGTAAGAACGATTTCAGGGCACGGGCTTTCTTCTTCCCCTCCTCGGTGGCGAATCCATTCCACACTTAGCAAATTTCAGAAAGCTAGGGCAGAACTCATTCTTCGACGCGATTCGGAGGGCCTTACGCGACGTACTGGGCGAAGGTGGGATCGAGGAGGTTAATCGGCACCGGCGTCCAGGTAATGTTTTTAAGTTATCTCGAGTAGTATGAGGATCGATCCAAGGTTCTTCGTCGCGTCCTCTGTAAGGAGAAATCGAAATAGGGCGTCGTAATATTCTTCTTCTTTCTCAGGTGGTATTGGGAATTGTATGGCTTGTGTGTGATAAACAGAACTTGATTAGTTGGTAGGATAACATATTCTTGTGTTAGAGAACGAGTAGGCAGATTGTTTAAGTGCCCTGTGAAGTTTGATTTATTAATGGTATAATTTTATCACATCATTATTTTGGTTCTGGAATTTTGGTTTTGGTCTGCTGGTTTGAAGGGGAAGAATCTCAACCTGCACCTGTTCGACTCTACTCTGGGATCAGTATGGGTTGAGGTGTTTGTGTTTCTGGCTTGTTGTTTAAGATGGGTGATGAGCCTCCTGCTCGTCACTCCTTCGCAGGAGTCGTTGCCAACCATCCTCTGAACCCTCTGGACAAAGAACATTCCCTTTCAACCAATTCTTTTCTTTTCCATTCCCTACCCGAAAACCATTGGTTCTACTACTGAACACAACAATGGCCCTGCGCTGGAATTTTCAAATGAGGAGACTGCTCTTCCGGCAATTGATTTCAAGTTCTCATTGGTTGGAAAATACACTCAAGGATATTCCTCATGGAAAGCATTGTTGGGATACGTTCAATCATCTCAAGTTGAATGGGGAATTCAAGTTATTACAAATCAATTTTAAACATATTTTGATTCTCCTTGCCAATGAGGAGGATTACACTCGGATTTGGACTCGAGGAATTTGGTTCAGCAGAGGCTTCCCTGTGAGAGTTTTGAAATGAAATCCTTCTTTTAAACCTGGAATCGAATCTGCAGCAGTACCATTTTGGGTTCAGTTCCCTGTGCTTCATGCCCAATTATGCCAGAGGGATGCTCTTTTTCCATTGCCTCACTGATTGGTACCCCTCTGAAAGTGGATATGCCAACAACTCCCAGGGCTAGAATTTCAGCTGCCCGAGGCTGTATTGAAATTGATGTGTCTCGCCCTCTGATCGACAAAATCTATTTGCTCATTAATGGTGTTGAAATGGAACAGCAAGTGAAAAATGAGAAAGTGCCGAAATATTGTCTCTTGTAAGCATCTGGGACATGATTTGGAAGGATGTCTTGCTTAATCGACTAATTTTGTCTCCAATCCAAGTAATAAGGAGAATTTTGGACATAAACAAAAGGATCTAAGAAGCTTCTTGCAATGAAAAAAAGAAGATTAGATTCCAAGAGATAAATCCCAACATAAGGAAGGCTTCAATGAGGAGGACCTTACTTGCATGGATAAGGTCAACCCTACTTGGGTTCAGGACAATGTTAATACTAATGAAGACTCAAACTGCTCCAATGGGTTTAAACAGCGGGATCTTTGGCACCTCTTAAATACAGAAAAGAAAGGGAAAAGAATAGAAGTTGATCTGAAGGCAACATAAAAGAATAGAAGTTGATGTGGAACTCACGGCCTTATCAAGTTCCAACAGAAACTTATCAGCTTGAAGCAGCATCTAAAATGCTGGAATAAGAACATCTTTGCCATTGTTTTCCACTTGTTGATCAAGGCTGAACAGGATGTTCTCAAAAGTGAAAGAACTTTTGAGCAGCAACAATCAGAGGCCAAAAAGCACATAGTCTCATCATGAAACTTGACATGGAAAAGGCTTATGACAGAGTTAATTGAAGTTTCCTACGCGATGTGCTTTCCAATATGGGGTTTAGGGATTCATCCATCAACCGCATCCGTGCTTGTGTGGATAATTGTTGGTTCTCTATACTTATTAATGGCCCTGTCTGTGGGTTCTTTAAATACTCCCGATGCCTCAGACAATGGGATCCCATCTCCCTTATTTTATTCAATCTAGAGTTGCATAAACAACAGTAGAGTTTTGTTGAAACCTGAAGAATATTCATAAGTAGGTGCTATTTGCATACTTGCTATCTTTTCTTACAATGTGAACGATTGACTTATGAGAAATTTGATAGCACCGATTTGATTTGTTAAATTGTCATATCTTGCATCACCGCTACTTACTGGTTCCATGAAATCTTCTATGGAATCCTAAAACTGGTATATATGGTTCTAATTCAGTCCGAAAAGAGAAAATGCAGAATGTGAATTAGTGCATGTTTAATTAATGTAGTACTTTGTGCCGTTTTCATTGAAAATTAGTGCATCTTTAACTTCTATTTTTTATAGGAAGTGACCGTGTGTCAACGCAGGTGTGCTGTGCTCATCCAAGATACCCACCCTTGAGTTTACCGAAAGGTCTGCTTTCTTTTTGACGCTATGCCACTGTGCAGAAACTTTTATGTGATGTTTGTTTATTGGGTGGGTGGTGCCATGAAGTGTTAAGTGCATTTCCATTAATCTGAAACATTTTTTCCCATCAGATTTCAGAATTATTTCATATTTGTTTTAAAGGGTTTCTACATGGGGCGTAACCAACATAGAAAGGATCCATGATCCTTGTCGGCAAGATTGAAAATCATCATCACCATAAATTCTATCCTACAGATGATCATCGATGTGCACCAACTGAATAACATATTCAATTTCATCATTTCAAAACACATCTATGCATTGACAATTAACTCAAATTGCATGCTTAATGACTTTGCATCAGCTTTGCCTTTCACAATTACAATGGTAAAACATATGCTTGCCACTTCTAATATTTGTGTGGACATAAGGCAAGAACTGCATGTAATCTCTTATTTGTTCGTAATTAAGTAATTATTTTCTTAATTATATTAAATTGGACGTACTAGCATTACATATCCTTCATCTCTAGCATCGACATCGTTGTCTTTTCTTCTTAGTTTCACTGTAATAAAGTTAGAATAGTGAGAAATTTTCCTTGTGTCTACAAATGGCCGATCAGAAATTGTGATGGGGAGTCGAAATCCATTTATTACTATTTAGGGGGCATCCATATAAGGGTTTGAAGTGGGGAGGACTGCTTATCTTAAACCATGTGGTTTAATGCTACGGTAAAGTATAATGCTAGTGTCATATATAGCATCCGTGTTTCCTAGTATGTTGGTGAAGGTTATTTTATGTTTATATGTAGAGAACATGGACTTCTAGAGACGTAAATGCATTTTATGCAAACCGATGAGATAAATTTATTCTTTTAAATTTGGGGTCTACGTCTGTGATAGGACTTAAACATTAGGTTTTTGGTTGCATGTTACGTTGATACAATCGCATGTATTACCTTGTTAGATGGATAGGAGTTGGATAGATGATGCGAACCATATCTCGGCTCAATATTTGGATGGGGTCAGGGCTTTCTTAGATTTCGCATTCAAAGATCGTAGTTCTGAAGCTTGCATCTATTGCCCCTGTACGTCATGCGGAAATCGCTTAACAAAAACTCGTAGAGATATCTTGCTCCATTGTATTCGTTATGGTTTCGACCAAACCTATAAGGTTTGGACTTGCCACGGAGAAGGAGAGGTGAACCCTGCTGCTTCAAACGACAACGTGCCAATGCGTTGGGAGGATGAACTAGAACTTCTATTGCGAGAGTGTGCATATACAGAGCACACCGATGATGTTCCAAGCGGAAACGTACCTCCCAGATATGAGGAAGATGAACATATACATCTTGGCAGTAAAGGGTACAAAAAGATGTTAGAAGATGTAGAAAAAGAGCTTATACCTGGGTGCAAGAAGATGAGTAGACTCTCATTTATCGCACGCCTTTTGCACTTGAAGATTTTGTGTCACTGGTCTAATAAATCTATTGATTTGTTATTAGAGTTGTTGAGGGATGCACTTCCAGACGATGTCGTTCTTCCGAAGAACTTCTATGAGGCTAACAAGCTGACGAAGGACTTGGGCTTCACATGCAAGACTATCCATGCATGCATCAACAATTGCATGTTGTTCATCGGGGAAGATGTTGACCGTGATGTTTGTATTGTGTGTGGGGAAAAGAGATTTGCACAGGGTAAAGATAGATGTCCCGTGAAGAAGTTACAGTACTTTCCAATGATTCCGCGATTGCAGCGATGGTTCGTATCTTCGAAAAGTGCATCTTCTATGAGATGGCATGCCGAAGGGCGTGTAGACGACGGCAAGATGCGTCACCCGGCAGATAGTCCTGCATGGAAGAGTTTTGATCATCGGTACCCGACGTTCTCTGAGGAAATTCGCAACGTACGCCTTGGGTTGGCCACTGACGGTTTCAACCCTTTTGGGAATATGAGCATCAGTTATAGCATTTGGCCTGTAGTACTTGTGATATATAACCTACCTCCGTGGCTATGCATGAAGCAACCGTCGTTCATCCTCTCTACAATCATAGACGAGCCACATGGCCCGGGGGATCGGATTGATGTCTTCCTTCAACCTTTGATGGATGAGTTGAAGGAGCTCTGGTGTGACGGTGTTCGGACATATGATGCGAGTAATAAAGAGGACTTCCAGATGCGAGCTCTATTGCTATGGACTATTAGTGATTTTCCCGGTTATGGTATGTTATCAGGGTGGCCGACTCGTGGGTCAAATGCGTGCCCTGTTTGTGGTTTGAATACTCATTTCAGGTACCTTAAAAATGGCCATAAGTATAGCTACTGTGGGCAACGAAGGTTCCTGCCGGGTGGGCATAGAATGCGCTTTGATAAACAAGCGTTTGACGGTTCGATGTGCTTTGATGAAAAGCCATCTCGATTGACTTCCGCTGAACTTCAGCAGCAGCTTGAGGATGTGCCGACTGAATATCGTAAGGATGACATGATTGATAAGCGCATTGCACAGGGATCTCGCAAGCGTCGCTGGGGGGTAGAAGGGCAGCAAGAGACGTGGAAAAAAATGAGCATACTGTTCGAGCTGCCTTATTGGGTTGAGAATTAGGTACATCACAACCTCGACTTGATGCACATTGAAAAGAATGTGTGTGAGAATGTACTGTACACATTGTTGGGAACTAAAGGGAAAACAAAGGACAATATCAACACGAGGAAAGACTTGCAGATGATGCAACTACGGAGTTCTTTACACCCGGTCTCTGGCCCAAGGGGTGCTGTATATTTGCCGGCAGCTACGTACACTATGAGTAACCCTGAAAAACGGATCTTCCTGTCTGTGTTGAAGGATCTCCGACCACCTCATGCGTTCAGTTCAAACTTATCGCGTCGTGTGAAGGTAGAACAACAACTAATATGGGGACTTAAGAGCCACGACTGCCACGTTCTTATGCAACGACTCCTACCTATTGCTGCCCGACGGTATACCCTTGTAACGCAATTATATTAACTAACACAACTCATGCCTCCTCTAAATATAATTGAAGGAGCTGATTCAACACTTTAAGTACCTGTCTTCCCAAAAATGTTGTGCTCGTGTTGATTGAACTTTGTAACTTCTTCAATTCGATGTGCTCAGCTCACAACACAGTTCGTGAACTAGAGCGAATCCAAGCAAGATATGCCACCTTGAGAAGCTATTCCCACCTTTGTTCTTCGATGTAATGGAGCATCTGCCTATCCACTTGGCTGAGGAGTCTATGGTGGCCGGCCCGGTGCAGTACCAGTGGATGTATCCCATTGAGCGGTATTTGGGTACTCTGAAGAGGTTCGTATGGAACTGGGCACAACCTGAGGGTTCTATCGCACGTGGATACCTTATGGAAGAATGCGTGACTTTCTGCTTAAGATATCTCGGAGACATAGAGGCCAAGGAGAACCGGGCTGCTCAAGGGGATGAGGAAGGGACGCAACACGGGAAAGGATTATTTGGTTCTAGGTTTAACCTTGATTACAATACGATGCGCCAAATTCATAGCTACATCCTAGGAAATATAGATAAAATCAGTCCGATACGAAGGTTATTCCACACTAAATTAACATTTCTTGTATGCCTATCCACTCTATGTTGAACAACTTCGACTTTTCTTTTTGCACTGTAGGATTCACGTTGACGCTATTAGGTCATGTCGAACGCGCGCACCTCCACGCGAGGTGCACCAGCAGCACAACGAACAATTTGCGTCATGGTTTCAATCATATGTGAGTGCCGTTCACATCGTCTCTACGTGGTATCTTGACTTCCCCCCCAAAGAAGATTGAAATCACGGGTGTTCATAAACTACTTTACCTGAAATATAGGTAGATGACCCGACGAATGATGATGTGTGCCCAATCTCAGCAGACATACGTGCATTGGCCTGTGGACCATTATGCAGTGCAACACGGTACTCGTCGTGCATTGTGTCGGGAGTACGATATCGTGTTCAAGGTCGGGATGCAGGGAAGAGGACACAATGTGCAGGTGTTATAATTACGGCAGATACAATGAGTTATGCCTCAGCTAGGGACCATAACCCAAGAGAAGGTTCTGTGGCATATTACAGGATTCTTACAGACATTGTGGAAGTGTACTATAGCAATCAAAAGAAGTACCTCCTTTTAAAATATGAATGGGTGGATCTGGAGAAAGGTGTTAAAGAGGATGAGTTCAAATATAAGCTTGTGAACTTCAAGTATTTGATGTACCCGAAGAACTTGCCCACGGATGAGCCCTTCATCTTGGCGACCCAAGCCAATCAAGTTTGGTACATTACAGACCCGGTTGATGAAGGCTGGAGCGTTGTTGTTCCGGTATCTCGGCGAGACACGTATGACATGTATAGTACGATCTATCATAGATTCAGTAACGGGTGAGCTTTAGATGACGGAGGCAATGTAAGAGGAGCAGCCGACTACTGGCTAAGGGAAGATGTCGAGGGGCAGGTAGTAGAAGGAACAACACAGGTAGACCATGCCGAGGCTTCAGCTCGGGATTCGGAGGAATCCTCTGAAGATGATGGTGCTTAGGGCAGAATGAGCAGATCGGGCATTTTTTATAGTATATTAATATAGCTTAATGAACGCCCCGATTTTGATGGTTTGGCAACCACACAACCTTTTCGAGTTCATGGTTCAGAATAAATTACACATCTCAACAAATGGTCATTTTTGTTAAGGGCGTCGACAATTGAAGTACGTAATAGGTAACCTTTTTCTGACACGCATGTTGTTTCACAAGCTCTGTTTTCGATTCCCGTATGCTGAATCACTTTACATGCATAAATTGCGGTATCTATGTTGTGACTTCTTCCTAATATGGTGTTCCATACAGATTCCTGACGCTTGTGCCTTGCAGGTTATGGGAAAATCTCAACGTGGTGCCGTAGGAGGGTCACAGGATCCGGCTGCCTCTCCCGTAAGACGGTTTACTCGGGCATCTACACGCAACAGCCCCGTAGAGGCAACTAATCCGGCTAGTAGAAATCCATCACCTATCCGCAAAACCACGAAGAAAGCAATGAAACGGAAGGGATCTCGGGTATCACCATTGCTCCAACGACTTCGCTCCATCACATCATAGTGGGAGAAAGAGCGTGATACCCGTACTCAAAGCAACAAAACAACATCTTCCACTCGACGGGCAGTGCTTCAGGATTCGGAGGGGATTTTGGAGGTAATGTGGCTTCTTTATGGAAGCTGGTCCCTATTTGAACTATTAGTACAACACTGCTATAGGCTGACGCTATTAACCCCAACAGGAACACGATGAGAGGGATATCCCATCAGTCCTTGAACAGACGGCCCCGACATAGGACGAGGATGATACAATCCCCCCCACAGAAGCAGATGACGAGACACTTCCACCGACACAGGACATGGAGACTGCAGAGAGTGATATGCCATTATTGGGGGAAGAACCAGGTTCCGACCCGGCTCTGATGACAGGAACGAAGGTGGGCGATATGGCACGATTGGACGAGATAACATCGGATGGCGGTTTGGAAATTATCCTTCTAAGATTATGTCTTGCATTTATTTTGATTTCAAATTTTCTACAAACGCGCATCTACAATAACATGTAGTCTCTTATTTGTACCAGCTGGTTTGTCCAAGAAAAAACAGTGGAGAGGGGCGGCATAATGCCGCGTGGATGGGGAAAAGATAACAAGATGCTTGTTTTCACATCGCCTGATGGTAAAAGCATTGTTGGACCCGACCTAAATGAGTACAAGATAGCTATTGGGGTCATTGCACGCAACGGAGCTCGACTTCCTCTAAATTACCCCACGTTTGCTGAAATACCGGAGACGAAGAGACATGATGCATGGATGGAGGTTCAGGTGATGCAATGTTCATATAAAATGAAATTTCTTCAATTTCATTATAGTTGTATACGTGGTCCTACTATATTGTTTGTACCGGGCGATAACCATGTCAAATGTCTTTGCAGAGTAACAGCGGATTACCAGACTCAACAGAGAAAGTGGTCATGGCTGACCTAAGGGAAGTTTGGAGGCATTGGAAATACAGCATCAAATCAACCTACTTTAATCCGATCGAGGACGACGAGGAAGCATTGAAGAAGGTTCCCTCAAGCAGGATCGTGCCCAAGGCCAAAGTTGGTTGAGTACTGGCGCGACGAAAAGGTGAAGGTATGCAATAGGGACCAACCAAATTAATATACATTATATCTGCACAGGCGTATGGTGAGAACTAAATAATTTGATTCCTACGTAGCTTCAATCCAAGAAAAATGCATCAAATGTACATAAAAGAAGCTTTCCGCATCGTACGGGGCGAAAGTCCTTCACTACTCTCGCCGAGGAGGTACCTTTCATTATGTTTAAGTAATTAGTCAAGCAAAATATGCAAGGGTAGCAACCCAGCAGTTCACCAAAATATTAAACCACAAGTTTGTAAATCCAACAAAATGAGAATGAATGAGTTACCATCATTGTGAGGTTTTCTCATCAACTTCCCCTAGACTTCTGATCCTTCTTTCCCTGTCTCTCCCCCTTGAGAGACATCAACCAAAGAAGGGTGGTGTCAAGTGCGGCCAGAGATGTATGCCGTGGTATCATCCTCATCAGTGTTATCCTTAGCAGGAGCAGACGACGTGATCCCAAGCAGTTCGATAAATTAGTCTCAATCCTATATATATAATTATAGCAAAGGGTGTGGACCTATCCTCAAATTCCTGGCTTCACATTTTTATGTAGATTTTTACAATTTTTTTAATGCAATTTTTTCAATATATATCACTTACTCAATTACAGTTATTTTTTTAAATAATAGGATAGTGAGATATAATTGGATAGTGAAGTAGTTTCTTAATTTACTTTTTTTTTTAAATTCTCTCAATAATTTAACACAATATCCGCAATTAGCCTCCGTTGCATTTCGGGAAGGATTTGCTACTCTCCCTCCACCATTTGAGATTTCTTTGAAGAGGCAAAAGCTTCTGCCATTTGAGATTTCTTTGAATAGGCAAAAGAATGGCAAAATTCTCCCTTCTGCCATTTGAGATTTCTTTGAAGAGGAAAAGGCTTGACAATGACTCTTGGTCTGTCTCTGGTATAGTCCGTTCAACTTTCAAAGAGTAAACCCACCATTTTCTTATTTTTACATTTATTTCTAAATTGTCTTCTATCTTTTATTATAATTTCAATTTATCTTTTTTTTTTCTTTTTTTTTGTCGTTTGCTAATTAACATTTTTGTATTGATGAAGTTATTTTGACAAGGATTCGGTGACTCTCCCTTCTACCATTTGAGATTTCTTTGAAGAGGCAAAAGCTTGGCTAAGGACTCTTGGTCTGTCTCTGGTATAGTCCGTTCAACATTTCACAAAGGGTAGACCCACCCCTTTTCTTATTTTACTTATTTCTTTCTAATCAAATGATGTTTTGAGATTTTTTTGTTATTTTTTTTTAATGTAGAAGCATGAAATTCACAGCAATTTATTTTAATTACATTTATTTCTAGATTGTCTTCTATCTTTTATTATAATTTCAATTTATCTTTTTTTTTTTTTATCGTTTGCTAATTAACATTTTTGTATTGATGAA